TATATATACAGTATCTATTTGTAGGGGTGCAACAATATATGTGCCTGTATCGAACAGTACTTTAGGTTCAATACACACTATGTATGGAACAATACAGATTATTAAAATTTACTTTATCAACTTGTCTTCTGAAGATGCTCTGTGTTGAAGGATCAGTGGATCTGTGTTCGACTACTCCACCTAGGCTGCATTTTTGAGCRCAGATCCACTGAGAAACTTGCTGTTTCAGCAACATTTAATTTAAAAACTGTACTTTTGAGGATAAACAAATGTTCAAAATTAATTTAAACAAATTAAAAATTAAAAAGGGCATGGAAATTTCTCTTTTTGGATTGAAAAAATATTGAACCGTGAGACTAAAATATCGAACCGAATCGTGAATTTTCTGTATCGTTGCACGACTAATATATATATATATAATTTAAAAATGGACATGTTTTAGTTAATTCTGTCACAGTATGTTTCCCTAAACATGCTTTTGTTGGTTTTGTTGTTCCATCTGAATGAATGGCAATGTTAATGAAAGTTGTGGCAACAAAAATGACTAAGTACCGAACACAGATTACCCCATTTTTACGTGGCAAAGCAATATCAATACTTATTTTTTGGTCCATGTTTTCAAGACTTGGGAAGTACCACTAATTGTAGCTCTAAAGGAAATATAAAACATAAAACCAAGATAAAAGAAAATACAAAGCAACCTCTGCTAGCAATGAGCTGCTTTGAATCTTCAAAGGAGACATAAGAAAAAATATGTAAATATATAAAGCATCTAAGCTGACAAAAATAATGGTTTTGTTTATGGTTCATGGTCATCTCTTCTTTCCACCAGTTCTTATTGTCAGTTTTTTCTTAGTTCAGAGTAGAGCTGTCATTGTTTTTCTTCTTGTATTGCCTGCATACATAGTGACCCCATCACTCTCGCTCCTGCTTACCGGGCTCACAGCCAGAATGCTGGGCAAGCCCAGCAGCCTAACCTCGTCTAGGCTTCATCTGCTATAACAAGTGAAGAGAGTGAGGGAAAAGGAGACATCCTTGGCAACACATATCAGAAAGCTTATTAAACTGTTCTGGATTAAGGCCAGATAATAATAGCAATGAGCTCTCATATTTCCTGCAGCCTCTGTTCGGCAGACTGTGATGTGTTATGAATTATGCACTGTGTATGAACCTTCGTATTATTGTGATCGTGTTGCATGAAGCCTGTAATAATGGCTGCAGCTTTAGAGTGTTCCAAACGCAGCTGTCTAACACTTTGATTTACTGTCCACCCATCCAGCTGCAGGAAGAGACTTGTTTTTTTATGAAGAGTCCTCTCAAGCTGTTTTGCTTGCAGCTGCTTTCCCCCAAACAGTGTCCAAGTTGTCAGCAAAAGTACTCACAAACAAACTGAGACATAGTAGGATGACACAAGATTTTGAAACAATAATAAAAAAAGAAAAAAAACAGAAAAGGAAAGCCAGGCACACTTGATGTCTACAAAAACTAAATGCATACGTTAGGGAAAAAATGGGGGAGGGGTTGCCAAGCTGTCCTTTTTATTCAAGAGCATAATTTGAAAACATTGTCCTCTGCCACATCTATTAGCAGCTCGCAGCACAGAGTCAGAACAGGCTTGTCGGTATTCACACATTGGCCAGGCTGGAGCGCCACATGGTGAACCCCCTGTGGGAGTGTGAGGTGGGTCATTTCTTCTGGCAGACAGGACAGGTGTGTGTACAGAAGCACAGTCTGCCGCCCCGCCTGCCTCAAGGGCCCTACTGAACTAGTAAACACTGCAGAGTTATAGGGTCCTCACACACGCTGAAGACAAGCCCGGGTCAGCCGGGATATGTTCCCCCGAAGCTGGGGTGTGCTGATGTGTGTTGTTTTCTTTTGTGTGTTCCTGAATTAAAATTTGCAGTGAAATGGAAGGATTGCAGAGATGAAGTATCACTATTATTCACACATGGCAGTGTTGTAGTAATCGAGACCAGTCATGGTCTTAAGACCGGTCTCAAGACCACATTTTGGACTTGGGACTTTATTTCAAGACCAGTCAAGACCACAACATTGGAAATATCACTAAACTGCCAGGATTTAGTCCAATTTATTTGTTAACATCCTTGCTTTCATTGGATATAAAATGTACTGATTTAAACCCAAGCATGACTCTTTGCTAATTATGTATTTTGTTACCACTGTCACCCACCCCCCACCCTGTTCCACTCTCACACGATATTCCAAGGAGGTGAGCAGTGGTTGTGTGATGGTGGGAGAAGCTACATAAATCATAAAGGACATATTTATAAGCCAACATCCAGAAGAAAGCATACAGTGACTTGTAAATTCTGCAAAGCTTTCAATGACGGTGGGGACTAAAATTTTTATCGTCACATAGGAAAAAAAAAAGAAACCACAAAAAAGCCAAGCTAAGAACGAGTTATGTTAGCAAAGCTGGCCAGCTAATGTTAGCAACCTGCTTCAGTGTTATATTATTTACCGGGCCCTCACACAAAGAGATTTAGTCAATATTAGCAATGCATTGCAAGTTAGCTGCCTGTGTACAGTATGCTTTATGGTTCAGCCACTAAAAGTCTTGGTCTTGTAACGATACACCTTGGTCTTGGTGGTCTTGACTACAACACTTACAGTTTATTTTCAGTTTTGTATTAATGTGAATCTGTATTTGCCTGCATGTGCTTGTTGTCGGGCCACGTGGAAGCATCTGGTACAACAGAACTCTGGCTCCAGAGGAAAAGTCTCCAGATGTGTTTGTTTGTGTTTTTTGGCACAACTATCCATTGTAGACTGACCGGCCTAAAAATAAATAATTTAATATCCAAGTGAGCCTTTTGCTTTCTTCTCCTGCATAGGCAGGGCATTTTGTTTATGGCAACATATCACCATCATTGTTCAGATCTTTTCCAGAGGGGTTTGTGTATTTTATTTTATTTTTCCTTTCCAAATTGGGATCATTAAAAAAGCTACTAACAGCAGATGACAATTATGTATCTTTTCTCCAGATCTCCTTTTAATGAAATCTAAATTTATAGATTATTTTTTTCTGCCACATGGTAATGTATGTATTGATGTGTGCTTTCCAAAACATTTAAAGACGTGCGCACACAGCAGTTCTGCTTTTGAAGGCCAACCAGATGGACAGCATAATGACTATGATCCAACTTTGTGGAGATACACTCCTTAATGAGGGACATTGTAGTTAATTTAAAAGCTGCTAACAAAGCCCGCAACATACCACATAATTAAGACATCAACTGTGACTAACTCATAAATATACATCGACTCCTATTTAGGAGTCAAACAAAATGCACAGCTGTTGGCAGAGTGAGCAGACTCGATGGCGTACTGACAGAACAGCATGCAAAAGATTTGACTTTTTTGACTTTTCCCTTTTTCTCTTTTGTTAGGCAGTTGTCGGTGGATGAGGCAAGGCGAGGTGCTGTTTTCAGAGGGGTCAAAACATGTGGCTTCTCTGCTCCTCCCTGACTCTGCTGGCCATCACCTTTGGATCATGTGACACGCTGATGTCAGAGCAAGGTGAGTATCATGTCTTAAAATGAAGGCTTTATATATGTTTTTAAATGTAAAGCAGAGAATGTATAGGATAGTTTGCTGTAAGTGAATGAGTGGTTTGCCAATATTAATTATAGTCACCATACAACTTGTGGAAAATCACTTTATTTTATTTTGGCATAAAACTAAATCAAGCATCAAACCACTGTATATATGGATCACAATTTAATTAAATTAAATCCAGTCCAATGTGTGATATTGAATAAAATACCACATGGAAATGGGACCAATAGTCACCTCATTCGCTTTTGTATATGTTTTCAGACATGAAAGTGGTTCATAAAGCTAACCATGTAACACTGTAAAGCTTTACAATATACTCCAACTTTATTAGGAAGAAAAACACCTTAAACCATTCCTTTAATGAAAATGTCTTGAGCACATTTTCAATAATCTCTGGATGCTGGAACCCGTTCCAGCTGATGTCCAAGTGAGTCTACCTCTTTCCATTACTGTAGACAGAAACCTGACTGTGCCTCCAGGCAGAAAATCAAGAACAAGAACAATCCAGGATTTATCTCTACCAAGACTGAAAGAAGAAAATCCTAGATCCAAATTAGCACCACATCAAAAGCCAATGACTTTTAAATTGTGCAATGTCCTTGTCCCAGCAGGTCTAAGAATTTAATTCCAAGTCATGCAAGTTTTAGTTAAAAAAAAAACAATGTTATTAATCTATTACTGTAATTTACCATTTTAGTTTTATTTTAGTTTTGCATCAACTCCCTATTAGTTATTTTCATGTTGTGATAAAAGGGTTTGAGTTGTAAGGGGTTCTAAATTTTGTTGAATGCAGTTTATCTCTAATGTGGTTTCCCAAGAAAAGTTAGTTTGGGGTTAAGGGCCATTTAAAAGGAATAGTTC